AATTAAACAGTAAGGCACTTTTATTTCCTTCCTGCAATTTGGAAATGACCCGAAATTTTATTACTTATTTTGTTTGAAAGCCTCTAGAAATTTTTCGAGAATAGCATTCCGATCCCTTTCAATTTGCAGGGCTTCTTTGCTATCCTCTTTCAGCTCTTTCATTTCCAAAGCGATTGTTTGGTTGGCCGCGCGAAATTCTTCAATAAATTCATCTTGGAAATTAACATTTTCTTTTTTTTTCCTCCGCTTTTTCGGAGGTTCTGAAGAACATTCCTCCAGTATTAAAAATTCAGGCGAAGGAGAAGTTGCTTCAATTTCAGAGGGCCTATTGTAGCACTCTTCATCTACCACAACTTCAAGTGTCTCAACTGTAATAATTTAGAAAATGATAAACAATAAACACAGTGACACACACTCACAATTATACAGTGATATTTTTACAATATCCACAGTGTTTATCATTTGGATTGGTTCTTCATTTTTTATAGTTAATTATCTAACAAAAATCATGAAAATCCAAATTTCATTCTTTATTTAGAATTTCTAAAAAATTAGTATGCGGATTTGTAGCCAATTGAATTAAGTATAACAAAGTGCAAGTTCGAAGTTGCTAAAAATACTACATTCATGAAACATCAACGAAAAACATTCCAAAAGGAAAATATGAGGGCCGTTCCGAATCTCGTGCATATGCTCTTGAATTAGGATATTCGTTGCATTTGTAAATTCACAACAATAAAATGCAAACGGTTGCTATGGCAGCAATCATAAAATTTGCTAATGCAATTCCAACTGCAAGTCCAAGACCATTTCCACAACATCCTGAATAGCCCAATTGTGAATATTGTTAATAGATCACAGTACAACTTTGAGTGTGCGTCAGTGTATAAGCATAAGATTATAGTGCTTCACCGTACTAACCTGTACTCTCCTCCACTATTGCTTCCAAGTTAAAGGACTTGTAGCGCCGAGGATTTGGTGCACTTTGTTGTAGTGCCCCCACGCAGATGGTGTGCCGCCTGAAGGCCCAACAATCTTTTTCTCATCTCTGTGAAATAAGAATTATATTTTTACAATTAAATTTGCATAGATGAAAAACTTGCCTATATTTATTGGTTAAATTATGTATTTTGACTTGAATTTCGTTTGCGGAAAATACAAAGCCTCTTGTGGCCATTTCCACTGCCATGTCCGCATATACATGGGAGTTTCGTTTGCAGCCTCGAAGTTGCGGCAACTTTTCCTCCCACAAATCCAGAAGAAGGTCGACTTCTTCTTTATGCCATTGCGATCGCTTCTTTCTGTAATATATATGCATTAATAATATTATTTAATAAATACTTTATGAGAAGTATGTTTACAAACCTCTTTTCTTTGCCGGCGTCCATTTCGTTTACTTTTTACTTTGACGTTTCTCCTTTACTTCGTAGTAATAATTATCGATAACACAGAAAACACAGAGTTGTATGGAGAAAACTATCGTTATAATCTGAGATTATTTTATAATTACAGATTAACGGGGGACGAATTTTGTATGGGTAATCTCGTAATTTAATTACGGATTAAGAGTTAATCTCGAAAAAGTAGATAATCTTCTTATATGTGAACCTAGTATTAGATACAAGTCAGCAAGCTACAAGTAAAGTGAGCAGAGAAGTGAGATGCGAATAAGCAAGCTATAAGTTTAATTGTGTTAACAAGTTTAGTAAAGCGTTGTTATTGCTCTAACAAGTATTGTAAAGTGTTTTTACTGTTTTAGCAAGTATTTTAATTGTTTGTTGTACAATAAAGTTAATTCTACTACAATTTGGTCATCGTTAGCATTGCAGCAGACATCCGGGAAGGTTGAAGAACAGCAAAAGTCTGTTAGTTCATCAACAGCTATAGACATGAAAACGTTATTTGATGCCATGTCACAGATGTCATCACAGCTGTAGTCACAGATGCAAGCACAGGATACACGCATGTCACAGATGTAATCACAGCTGTCATCCCAGATGCAAGCGCTGGAGACACGTATATCTTCAGAGGTATCAGCGCAGGTGTCATCCCGGCTAGAAACTCAGCTACTGGCACAAGAGACACGTATATCATCCCAGCTGGAAGCACAGGGTGCGAAAATTACACAAATACAGGGCAAAATCGAAGAGAGACAGGACAAAGTAGAGGAGTTGGAAGGCCGTCTTCGTGATTTACAGTTGAATCGTCCAGCTACTTAGACGAGCGCACCCAAGGTAAAGACTCCATCCTTTGACGGCACTATTCCTTTCGAGGTCTTTAAGCTCCAGTTCGAAAAGACGGCTACAGCAAATCGTTGGAGCATGGAGGATAAATCCGCTGCTTTATTCGTCGCATTGAAAGGACCTGCAGCGGAAATCTTGCAGACTATTCCCGACTGTGAAAGGAACAATTACGATGCATTAATGGGTGCAGTGGAAATACGTTATGGTAGTGAGCACAGGAGACAGATTTACCAGATGGAGCTGGAGAATCGCTGCCAGAAATCCAACGAGACTTTACAGGAATTCGCCTCTGAGATTGAAAGGTTGGCTCATTTGGCAATTGGAGACGCATCTGGTGAGCCCCTTGAAAGGGTAAAAATCCAGAGGTTCATCAACGGAATGCGGGACATGCGAGAGACGTACGCGAATCCAAAGGCAACATTTGCTGAAACCGTCTCGTATGCTGAGACACGTGAAACGGCAGCACTCCTAAGTAGACCAGCCTACAAAGCACATCGCGTGGAAGTGGAAATACCGGACGAGACAAATGAAATGCTGAAGAATATTATCCAACTGCTGGGCGAGAAAAAGAATGGATCTGGCAAATGTTTTGAATGAGGAAAGCCAGGCCACTTCGCCCGCGATTGCAGCGCAAGTTCCAGCGGGCTCAACAATTCAGCAGGACGCAAACGCAGGGCTGAAGGAGACGAAGCCAATTCAAAAGTTGAAGGGCCCATAATCTCCGTCTCACAAATTGCCCGGAAAGCATGCAACCTCAGTGTTGGTGGATGTGTGAATGGGCAGGAGAGAGTACTGACAGTGGATACTGTAGCGACACATTCCATTATTCGACCGGATTTGGCCACTTTTTATGTGAAGCCACTGCCTGGAGCAAAGCTGCAGACTGCAACTGGTGAATGCACCCAAGTGTTAGGAGAAGTACCATGCGAGGTAATAATCGACGGTGTGGCCTCGTACACTAAGTTTATAGTGGCAGACATTTTGGATGAAGTCATCATCGGCGTGGATTTCTTACTTGGCCAAGGCATGAGATTGACCTCCAGAGAATGATCCTGACAGATCGTCACAGGAAAGTGCCACTTAGGGTTGGTTACGACAGCCAGTGCTGCAGCAGACGATTAGCCTTAGAGGAAGTGTCGAAGATTCCACAGGAACGGAAGTGTTTAGTTGGGCAGAGGTTGACAGTGATGGAGACGAAATGGTTTCGTCAGGAGAAGGAAGTTGTTCACCGATACAGGAAAAGCGTGACGGCTCCGCCAGCTCAGTGAAGAAGGGGTCGCAACAAGGAAGTGGTCATGGCAAGCCAGGCAGTGTTTCCGGAGGAGGAAAGCCGCTAAACCACGTTGCAATGGTAGTACGCCGGTGGCCGGAAATGGAAGCGGCTGTGGGAGCAGTAGGCGCGGTGTGAAGTGTCCCGAAAAAGGTGGCCGGCAAAGGCGAGCAGTTAAGCCGGAAGCCAAGGATGAGGTTATACATGTCCGGTCAATGATGTTGACGCCGGTGAAGGAGCGAGATGCGGAAACACTGGGCAAGTTTCAGCGTGAGGAACCGGATTTATCAAGATGTGCTAAAGGCAGTGCAGCACGAAGGCAGGAGCCTCGGTGTCATGGACAGAGGATGCGGCATAGATCTGGAAAAAAGGGTGCCTACAAGAGGAGACATGGTCTGGTCACCACCAGTGACCGGCAGAAGCACGACCATGTGAGATGGAGCACCACCGGAGATAAGCTGGAAACAATGTCCAGTAATACATCGAGCCGAGAGGAGCTACAGGAAGGCGATTTGGTGCTGTTGCACATGCCGCAGCCGAAGAAAGGCTTCACCTCCGAACAACATCGTAACTGGAAAGGTCCGTATAGGATTGACAAACGGCTGAAGGACGCAGTGCATCGAATCCAGACAGCTGGTAGACTGAGAACCAAGATGAAAGACTGGCAACGTTTGGAGCAGCAAGTGTGTCTGATCGGGACGATCAGACTTAGGTGGAGCGCAGTGTGGCGAAAACTGCGGCAACGCGAAGCGAACAACGAGAAATAGGCAGAATGTTCGAGGAATGACGTAGAATGTTCCACAAAGAGAAACGTCAAGTTGGATGAACAATGCGAACAGCGAGAGAAAGAGGATGAGCGATAAACTTCAGAACGTTCTAGGGTTGCCATAAGTACCATCGCAGGTATATAAGGGCGCCGCCACAGCGAAGTGAGTTAGATACAAGTCAGCAAGCTACAAGTAAAGTGAGCAGAGAAGTGAATTGCGAATAAGCAAGCTTTAAGTTTAAGGGCCGGTTACTCAATGTCTGGTTAACACTAATCTGCGTTTAAACATCGTTACCGACGTCTTCGACTCCATGCATATAACAGGGAGTCGGTAACGTCGATAACGATGTTTAACAGCATATTAGTGTTAACCAGACATTGAGTAACCGGCCCTTATTGTGTTAACAAGTTTAGTAAAGCGTTGTTATTGCTTTAACAAGTATTGTAAAGTGTTTTTACTGTATTAGCAAGTATTGTAAATTGTTTGTCGTACAATAAAGTTAATTGTACTACAATTTGGCCATCGTTAGCATTTATTTAACAATCCAGCGATACGAGCCGGAAGCTATTTGGGAAATCCCTCAAGGTTTCGAGGATAATCGTAACAATACAATTACTTTGAAAAATATGTAAATCGTAGTCTATGTAAAGTGATTGATACCTTTCCCATACTGAGTAGGTATCGATACCTTGTTTGATACAAGTACAAGTACTGATTTGAGTAATACCTTGATGGTATCGATTTATCCCTATACGTATGTTCCGTTTAGGCCGTGGGTATAGGGCTTTCGCACGCGGCGATTTTTCAGGCAGCTTTTAGGTGAAAGCAAAAATCGCCACTTCCGAACTGCCTTTCAACTAATCGCTTTCAACAAAGATGGTCGCCAGCCAACTTTGAGCTCGTTCAACTTTTTTTCCTTGCAACCCTGTGTTTGTTTACATTCTGTATACATACCACCATTTTGAAATAGTATTCTGGCGAGTGGCTTGGTAAAACTTAGTAAAAAAGCACCTTTACCAACGCTTGGCTTACCAAATTTACGCCAATTGATAAAATTTTGCGATTTAAATTCATTTTAAATAATGTAAATAACAATTCGTGTTGAATCCAAAATCGCCTCGTTTGAATAGGGATCGCAACTTTTTCACTTTCAACTTCTCATTCAACTTCGCATTCAACTTTTGTTGCCTGTAAAATCGCCGCGTGCGAATGCCCTATAACGCCACCAATTTCGATTGGCAAACACCGTGCAATTGTTGTTGTGCACAGCACGGAGTGAGAGAATTTTCAAAATCGAACAGCCAGCACGATTTGCTGGGTGAACCCAACACCAATTTTTCAGGGTGACAATACGCTATTTTGCGAAATAGTATTAGTATATTAGAATAGTAAAAAATATTTTTTTATTATTATTATAAAGTAGATATTAAACAAAATATTATTATAAAAACTAAATATTAAAGAATGAAAAAATATTAAGTAGTTCTTCCATTTTTCATATTCCGACTTCACTTTTGATCCATTTTTAGTTGCATTTTTACTTCAGTGCTGCCATTGTGTGCGAAATTGTATGAAATGGAAAAAGGCATTTCTTAAGAAGCAACCCAGTGCTCGCCAATCAGCAAACAGAGCGTAACCACTTCTCACCAATCACCGAAATTTTTCTCTTTTGATTGCCAATTAAAATTGGTGGCATAACCACGGCCTTAGGAATGGGTAAATTCGATATTCGAAGCGTCGAGATACGAATTTTAATCGCAATTAAGCTCCTAAAGGCGAATTTTTCAAATCGAATTTTGTGGTGCTAAAATTCGGATAAAATCGATTTTTTCTAGAAAAAAATCGAATTTTCTCTTTTAATTACGTTCAAATTGGCCCCATTTAACTTGTTAAATGAAAAAGAGCTTTTTGGAAAACACAATCGTCCACATGGAAATTTGGAGTTAACTTTGACGGTTGTTTGATTACCAATAAAAATTCTAAAAAAAATATTCAAATCCATTTTTTGTGTTTCAATTTGTTTTGTGCGAACGTCTGATTCATGATATTAACGCATACGGAATACTTAGAGTTTTCAAAATGTTTAGTTCGTATGCACTATTTATCTCTGCGTACGGTGAGACCTCATGGGCAATAACTAATTACCGCCTTTGCCTATTTTTTGGCGGGGCAGACATGCATATAATTTTAATATTTTTTGATAATTTTTAATTTTTAATATTTTTCAGAATATAAATTTTTTGAATGTTGGCGTGTCAAATGAAAGCTTTTGGGTCTTTCTGATTGGCCGGAGCAGAAAGCTTTCTGATACAACTGTACGCTGAACTGGTTTTCAAACGAGTTAAATGATTTAACTGGTTCAATTTTCCAACAAGAATTGCATGCGATTTAACTTGTTCATGAACATGTTTTGTTCATTTAACTGGTTCAACCCCATTTAACATGTTTAGCTCGTCAATTTGAACGTAGTATTAATTTTCAAAAAAAGCAACTCTGCAACTTTCTTCTTTCTGACTAAATTTGGCATGCTTGTGTGCGGCACCATATTTGCCTAATGCAGCGTTCATGCTGACATTTAAAAGCACATTTATCAATTTCGAATATTGGTTTTTCGAAGAGTGTTCACGGTGCCGCATTTAGTTAATGTTCTGTCTGTTCTTGTACAAAAACGTGCAAGTAGTCATTTGGGAGTACATCCACTTGGAACTTCCTACTAACGAAAGAACCTGTGCGAGGCAAGAGGTACCAAAACAATAAAGTATATGTTTTATGTATATTTACGTATATATGTACTTAATTTTCCAGAATCGAGCTAGCACGTTTTGGGAAGTCGAGTTTCAATGCTGCGGAAATGATTTCTTCAAGCAAAACTTTAGATTGAAAAGACGGGCTTTCCAGAAATTGTGTAGCTTTCTGGATCACATTAAAAAGAAAAAAACCAACTTCCAGAATTCTATATGCTTGGGAAACGGGACCATTGAAGAGTGTGTTGATGGTTTTAAAAGCATTGGATTCCCTCAATGTTTGGGAGCGCTTGGTAAGCTTTTTCTAAAATTGTAAAACTGTGTATAAACAGCTACATATAATATTTTTAAGATGGATGCCACATAGAAATTCGACCTAGAACGGAAGAAGCAGTAGATTATATCAACTATAAAGGATGGTATTCGACAGTTTTACTAGCTCTTGTTGACGCAAGGTATTATACACGAACTTTTACTTGCATGTTTATACGAATAAGACGTCGCAGTGCATATATTTTTTCGTTTCTTTTTAAGATATCGTTTTCTGTATATAAACGTTGGCAGTCCCGGACGATGCAATGATTCCAAAATCTTTGAAAAGTCCAGCTTAAAGAGAGAGCTAGATAAATGTTCGCTTCTGAACTCAATGAGCACAAAATTAGGAAACTTTGATATACCAGTTGTCATTCTTGGAGACTCCGCTTTTCGTTTTTTTAAATATCTAATGAAACCTTTTCCATTCAGTTTGGATAAAACACCAGCGCAAAAAACTTTCAATTATCAACTTTCGAAATCACGTAGTCGTTGAAAATGCTTTTGGACAACTGAAAGTAAGGCAATTAAGCAACATAAAACTGGATTTTAAATAAAAACACTTAAAAGAATAACCTACATGCATGTGTATGTACAATTATAGGTTTCGTCGAATTGGAAAAGGCTTTGATAACAGAATTGACAATGCGAATTCCATTATAAAAACTTGTGCCTTGCACAACTTTCTGATAGCGGAAAATGACCAAGTTTCACTTTCTTGGCTAACTGAGCAGAACGCTAACGACAGCAGTAGAAGGCAACCACAATCCGCGGATTTGCACCAAAGCCTAACAGAAGCTGAATCAATAAGGAATGCTTTCACTTCATACTTCAGTACGTTATTATCACATTTATTTCAGTTTCATTTTTTCATCTTAATATAAAGCCAAAGTGCCTTCATTCGGTTTATAAAATAAAAAATGTCAATCAAAAAAGGAAATATACATACATATGTACAGTGGCGAACAAAAGTATTGGCACAGTGAATTTTTCGCCATATATGCAAAGTTTTTTATTCTAATTTATTTTCGATAATTTTTTACAAAAATATAGTTCCTTTTACACCAGAAAACGTAATAATAAAATCTCTAAACTTTGTGCAAAACTCAGGAAAATTCTTTAAATTTGCACACTGATTTGCAACTTTTTATTAAGATTTTTAAAAAAATTCAAAGTATGCAGTTTTATAGCCCATTCAAATTTAGTATAACAAAGTGTAAGTTTAAAGTTGCTACAAAATCGCGTTGAATAAAAAGTTGCTAATTAGTGTGCAAATTTTATGAATTTTCCTGAGTTTTGCACAAAGTTGAGAGACTTTATTATTATATTTTCTGGTGTAAAATGAACAATATTTTTACAAAAAATTATCGAAAATAAATTAGAATAAAGAACTTTGCATATATTGCGAAAAATTCACTGTGCCAATACTTCTGTTCGGCACTGTATATTACATTGCAAATAAAGAGGTTCATATCACAAAATCTAGGCTACTACCATGATACAATAATTTTTAGAAGGTAGTTTCACTTCTTCTTCTTATCGGCCATGTTAGCTATCTGACAGAAAACGTGTTTCGTATTTTTTGTTGTACCAACTTTTTCAAAAAAAAAAATCCAGCTTTTGACGTTGGAAAAATAAAAGAAAGAAAAGCCAAACATGTAAGTAGAGAAATTTTCGAATATTTTGTAATAATTTTCTTCATAAAAAATTAACGGAATAGATGTAAGGACACAGCTATAAGAGCCACCGCACACCACAGACTTTATCGGCCGCCTATTTAAATGATAGGGCTCTCTTGAAATATGTACATGAAGATGTATGGAGGTGCGCACATTACACCAGCTTAATCGCTCTGACCAATAGGTTGTGGTGCAATGGAAAGACTAGCGAGCACATCTAAATTGGCCGCCGATAAAGTCCGTGGTGTGCGATGAATCTAATCCATTATAAACAAGAAATATTGCTGTCATATTTTCATTTTTATGATTTTTATTCATGTGATTAGCAGTGGCAAAAATGTATGTATAAAATAAGTATATTTATATTAAAAATTAAGTGATCAGTTATGAAACATATAAATCTTTACATGATCTGTTAAAAAATATCTAAAATAACAAGCGGTAATCCCCAAGTTCTATATCGTAGCAGTGGCCACATTGCTCGTTTGCCACAGACACGGTTTATGTCAAAAATTTTGAAGTGAAACTACCTTCTAAAAATTATTGTATCATGGCTACTACTTTCTTAACATCAAAAAAAAAAAAAATCACAACATATTTGATTCCATTTTCTTAAAGAGTAATTCTAAAATCTATAAAAAAACAGTTCACTTCATTAGATTTTACATACTATTTGCTTATAATCTATTAAATGTGTAAAAAAATTATTGAATTCACAAGACATTACATACTATTCCTTAAAATCTATTTAAAAAATCTAAAACACCATCCGTCAGTCTTTTCGCGTCTTTCTGCAGCTCCTGCATTGCCATCAGTTTTGCTTTTTCAAGTTCCACCAATTCTTCGTTTGATTTGGAAAATTTATCCATAGCTTCCGAAAAATTGGACTGGAGGCTTTCGCAGACCGTCACTAACCGATCCATTTGTTTTTTTCTTCCAGATTTGTCGGATGCTGAGGACGAACTAGACGGCAATGGTGATAACGGCGATAGCTGAAACTGAATTTTTACAATTTATGCACATAGATTAAGATAAAATGTAATAAATAGTTTTGCATCAAAAGCAAAGTATTTGAATGTCTTCCATCGACACTTACCTTCAAAACTTTCTTCAATTAGAGCCTCTACATTATTTATTGAGAAGCCACCAATTATTTGGTGCACCTGCTCATATAAAGGCCATGATGCAGGAGAGCCTCCTGTTGTTCCCATAGCTGTCTTGGCCCTTCTATGAAAAATGCGTACAAAAATACTTATTTTATTCTTTCTTGAAAGGATTAAAGTTACCTATATTTCGCCGTCAGATTGTCAATCTTCATTTTAACTGATGAGGAGTTGACATTATAGCCCTGCATCTGCATTTCAGCCGCCATCTCTTGGTAAACATGGCTGTTTTTCCTAGGCCCCCTCAAATCATCCACTTTTTGCTGCCACAACTCCACAAACACCTCCTCTGCTGCTGCGGTCCATGGACATCTCGTTCGCTTCATATTTTTAATAATTTTTTCTTATTTATTTAATTAAAATCACAAAGAAAATTTGATGAAATGAAATGAAGCAAATTACGGCACAAATATCACAATATATGTATGTATACGCAAAACTGAATGTAAACAAATATGTATGTAAGTGTACACAAACAAGCGATGTTGCCACTCTTTTTTGCTACACTTTCTTCGAATCGTGGTGTTTTTTCGAAGATTACAGAGTTGCATTCGGCATTTAGATTCTTAATGCCAAAAATATATAGCATTTAGTTGCATTTAGGTAGAGAATTTTGTATGAGTAAATGTACATTTAGAGTAGCATTAGAGCTAAATGTGCTAAATGCAGCTTTAACGTTCAGCATTAACGCCCTATTAGGGATGCAAGTCAATAAAATACATCGACGTTTTTTCGATCTGATGCAACGAAATATTGCATCGATGCATCGATGCATCGTATATAAAAAAAAGAATATTTTCGATGCAGTGATTGAATTAAAAATATACAAGAAAATGGAACAATTGAACTTCGATAAACGTGGTGACGTGCAATAATGTCAATGGCGCATATTCATAGTCATATTAAGGGCCGTTTGCACCATGTCTAGTTAACGCTAACTGGAGGTACATCCTTCAGTTAAGCACGTTAACTGCTTTATCGATCACATGTTATATGATGGGTGTCGATAACGTCGATAAAGATGTTTAACTGGGAGTTAGAATTAACTAGACATGGTGCAAACGGCCCTTAGTACTCAACTAAGTCGAAACTATTCTAAGTCACAACTAAAGCTATTCATAATCGCCTTATGCAGCGTTTTTGCTGCATTTAAAATGCAACGTTTAGCACTTTCGAACATATGTTTTCGATGAGCGTTCATGCTACCGCATTTAGCAAATGTACATTTACGCGAGTTCGAAATCGTATGGTTTTGACAAACAGCCGTGTTCCAGTCGCTTATTCAGATCCGTATCTATTACGATCAATTCTCACGCAGAAGATAATGTGCAAAAACCCTACTGAAAAGGAAAAAATAAATTTTAAACCAAAAATTCAATACAAAAACTTGAATTGTTTTAACCATAACCGAACATTTGTTTGTGTATATATTCATTTGTCGGTGTTGTCAATTGAAATTTCCACACTTAATTAGGAAACAAAGCAAACAGAGTTGATCGCAATTTAATCCAGTTTTCTATCAGCATCATATCGATGTTTTGATTTGCATAACTTTTCTTTATCAAAATAATGTAAAATAATAAATGAAATCTCGATCGGCGATCACTGAAACGCAGCTAGCGACTGCATACTCGAAAAAGCAATGTTGCCACTGTCGGCAACACTGGCCACTCAAAAGGACATTTTCTATTACAACACAATGGCAACGCCATTCCCTTTTGAAACGATTTTCAACGTCAGCTCTAGTTATTAGTTTTCAAAGAAGCCGCGACAAAAACACCAATTGTAAAACGAAGCCGAACGAAGTCTAAGAACGAAAACTGAAAATTTGTCTGCTTTATATTTTTGGCCGCGAGCCATAGTTTTTGAATTTAGATATTCAACTTAAAATTAACTCCCTTGTTTCGTTTTTCTGACATAAGTTTTTACAATTGTTTTATCGTGGTTGTGTGAAGCGTTTGTAGTTGCTTTAGCCGCCATATTGCAACATACGCTTTTCAAGAGTCTTGATGATAACGCGTAACAAATCGAAGCTTATTGATATTGCTGCTCCAGAGGGAAGCAGCGACAATAGTTCGGAGGAAAGCCTGTTAGATTCAACTATAGTGAATCTGCCTGACAACGAGGGTGCAACAGGTGCACAATCGCCACAGCCGCAAGTCAATTTATCTGAAACACAATTAGCTACATTACTACAGAGCATTTCATTTTAACGCCAATCTGTGGATGAGCTTCGCCAAGAGACTGGCCACAGCCGGGATGAAATGAAGGAACTCCGGGCCATAATAGAAAGTGAGGCTAGAAACGATATTCAAAATGCTGAGCTGCCACTTTCGCAACCGTCAATGACGCCACAGCCGCAGCCAGTGCCACTTTCGACGCCACCGCCGCAGTTAGCGGCATATACTCTGCCACTGCAACAGACATCAACATATAATTTGCCACCGCCGCAGTCAACGGCATATACTCTGCCTCTGTCACACACATCAACATATACTGCGCCACCGCCGCAGCCTGCAACATTTGGGATGCCACAACAACAATTACCGTTACTGACGTCGTCAACATCTTTGTCAGCGCCGCATCGTGCAACTACTCTTACGTTTTCTGAGGACTATGCGGAGAAACTGTACCCACTGCTGCCTTTTGATGGTAATCCAGAAGATTGGCCTTTATTTTTTGCCAATTTCACTGATTCGACTATTGAATTTGGGTATAACAACAAATAAAATTTGATGCGATTGCATAAAGCGTTGAAAGGCGACGCCAAGAATGCTGCGACATCGCTTCTTATCTATCCAAACGATGTGCCTAAAGCCATTGAGGAACTTCAGTTCAATTTTGGACGCCCCGACATGCTTGTACGGGTTCAGTTGGATAAAGTCAAGAATTTCCCAGTCATTTATGAGAATCGCCTTGAGCCTGTTTTTGAGTTTCTCTAATCGAGTGCGCAACATAGTTGCATTCTTTAAATCTGCCAAATGTGAACACCACCTAATGAATACAACACTTTTGGATCAACTAGCGACCAAAATGCCGCAATCGAAACAATATGAGTGGACGAAGTTTGCTGCCACCGTTTTGCCATTTCCTACGGTGGAGACCTTTTCGACTTGGCTCAGTGAACTCGCAAGGGCTGTGAGTCTGATGCCAATACATGCGCCAAATGCTCAACGTTTTTCGCAACCGTCGACACCGTTGGGTTTTCGTCAAGCTAATGCCAATAGCAATCGCCAACATGCCGCGTTGGGTGCAAAGGGAGTTTTGCACAACAAAGAGATGACATTTGATAATTCAAATATACCGTGTTTGCAATGCCAGCAAAGTCACAAACTGAGCAGTTGTCGCCAGTTTGCTGCTCTGGATATAGACGATAAGTGGAAATTTGTAAAACGTCACCGTTTATGTTTTTCGTGCTTGCAGGTTGGACACAGCCTGACCGATTGTTTTAAAAAGAAGCCATGTGGCATAAATGGATGCGTGCGCCTGCATAATCAATTACTTCATTCTGAGGCCAAGCAGCCTCCGAAGCCAGTCACGCCAAACAACGAAGAAAGGGAGCACATACTCAACTGCCGTGAAGAACGCTCTCTTTCACACCTTTTCAAGATATTGCCGGTCATTTTGTCAGGTCCACTAGGAAGAATTTCCGTTTACGCCATGTTTGACGAAGGGTCATCGATTTCGCTACTGGAGGAGAAGGTAGCCAACAGCCTAGGCCTTAGAGGAAACGCCGCACCACTCACACTGCAATGGTATGACGACAAGAAGACAACAGAGAAGTCACGTAAAGTAGCCTTGGCCATAAAGGGTCATGCGGAGAAGTCGTCAACGTATGATATAAAGAACATATGCACAGTCAAAAGCCTAAATCTGCCAACACAAACTTTCTGTCGAGATGGTCATTCACATTTGAAGTCGCTGCCGATAAAAATTACGATAATGTCAAGCCTGTTCTGCTGTTGGGTTTGGATAACTGTTTCCTTGAGGTGACAGAACATATTGTAGAGGATGGGCCATACAAACCCATCGCAGCCTTAACCAAATTAGGTTGGACCGCATTTGGTCCTACTAATTCACGAAGCAACGCCGAGCCACGTGTACTTCATCTGCGTGAGAGTCAAGCGCTTAAGGAGCTACAAAAGGTGGTCGAAGACTATTTTGCTGCCGACAGTTTTCGTGTACGAAATGCTGACATTGTGCTCGAATCTGATTCAGACGCCCGGGCCAAGAAAATTCTTGCTGAAACAACAAAAAACATCGGAAGACAATACGAAGTTGGTCTGCTATGGCGAGAAGAAAATGTAAATTTGCCTAAAAGTTATGCCATGGCCAAACAGAGGTTGCTCAACATTGAGAACAAAATGACCCGAGATGCCGCCTTTGCCGCCAATTATAGAAGAGAAATCGACAAATATATCGCGAAGGGATATGCCCGATTGTTGGAGCCTGAAGAAGCTAACCGTGAAAGCCCTACCACTTGGTATTTGCCACATTTTGGAGTGGTGAATCCAAGCAAACCGAATAAGCTTCGCATTGTATTCGATGCTGCCGCCGCTACGTCGAACATATCACTGAACTCGGCTCTCCTAAAGGGACCGGAGCACGCTCAGCCGCTTTGGACGATTATCGCTAAGTTTCGTCAGGGTGTTGTGGCTGTAGCGGGCGATATACAGGAAATGTTCTCGCAAGTCAGAATACGCGATGCCGATCAAGACTCGCAGCGATTCCTATGGAGGAATGGGTGCGTTTCAACGCCGATTCGAGTTTACCAAATGGTGTCGATGATTTTTGGTGCCGCGTGTTCACCATGCTGCGCTGAGCACGTGAAAAACGTCAACGCTGAAAGCCATATGGAGGCGATGCCCATGGGCGCAAACGCTGTCATCGAAAACACGTATGTTGACGACCTCGTCATTAGTTTCGACAGCACGCAAGAAGCCGAAGAAGTTACTTTAGAAGCCATTCGCTTTAATGCTGCCGCCGGGTTTAAACTTCGAAACTTCGTATCGAATTGCAAAAGTTTGGAAGCCAAGCTCAATAACGATGGAGTCGTCCAAGGAGAAAGCTTCAACTTGGAAAGAGGAAATAGTACCGAGAAAATACTGGGAATGTTTTGGAACACAAACAAAGACACATTCGAGTTCCATTTCAAATTCCATAAAGTGCCAAAAGACGTTTTGGAATGTAAACGCCCGCCAACTAAACGAGAGATGCTTGGAATCGTTATGTCGGTTTACGATCCATTTGGACTCATAGCTAATTTCATGATATACACCAAACTTTTATTACAAGCAACCTGGAAGATGCAAATAACATGGGATGAGCCGCTTCCGTATGAAATGCAAGCCTATTGGACAGCATGGTGGAAAGAGTTCCAACGGGTGGAACAATTTTCTACTCCCAGATGTTATTCACCGTTATTACCATCAGCCGATGATGTAGAATTACATGTTTTTGCCGATGCAAGCGCCACTGCCTATGCTGCCGTTGAGTATCTGCGCATGCAAAGAGGATGCGAAGTTGACGTCGCATTTGTTGCTGCTAAAACACGATGTGCCCCGCCAAAGGGTATGAGTGTCCCACGACTAGAACTACAAGCTGCCTTACTGGGTTGCCGATTGATGACTTCAATTGTCAATAGCCATAGCATTCGTATTAGGCGTACGATATTTTGGAGTGACTCAAAAACGGTCATCCTTTGGATTCGTTCAACTGAGCGCCGATATAAACAATTTGTCGCTCATCGAATTGCCGAAATTCTCTCCAACACAGAACCATCACAATGGCGTTGGTTGCCCACGTCATTTAACGTAGCAGATGATGCTACTCGAATTGCAACACCCCCGAAATTTGAATTGCTAACGCGATGGACACTAGGTCCTAACTTTCTTCGCCAAAGAGAGGAGCTGTGGCCTAAAGAAGTGCCACTAACATCTGAGCATTGTCAATCTGAGGAGACACCCAACCGAATTCTCAACATTAAGCTAGGTGAGCCTGTGATTGATTTTACTAAATTTTCTTGTTACTTAAAGCTAGTGCGAACAATCGCATGGGTTTTGCGATTTGCACACAACACCCAGCCTGGTCAACATAAAAGAGGTGAGCTTGCCGCAACCGAGTTAGCGAAAGCCGGGAACGCCATCTGTCGCATCGTACACAACGAGGTGTATGCTGAAGAAATCCGCATGTTGCGCGCTGGATCTAATCTGCCGAAGACGAATAATTTGAGCCAATTAACGCCGTATATTGATAATGGCATACTTCGAGTCAAAGGACGAATTGACGCCGCATACTGTATTCCAATGACTGCGCGGCGCCCAGTCATAATGCCACAAAACCATCCGGTTACACACCTATTGATGTTGCACTATCATCAAAAGAGGCATTACCAAAACGATAAGCTAATTATAAACGAACTACGCCAAAACTTTTGGGTGCCTCATGCACGCGCTGTGTTGAAGCGCACCAAGAGAAACTGCCCGACGTGCATAATAGCACGCGCCAAGCCTGATGTACCGCTCATGGGTCAATTACCGCCCGACCGCTTAACACCGTTTCTCCGCCCGTTTAGTTATACGGGGATTGATTATTGTGGACCATTTTATGTAGCTGTGGGCCGCCGTCGTGAAAAGCGCTGGATAGCCTTGTTCACTTTTCTAACGACACGCGCCATTGACCTAGAAGTCGCTGAAGACTTACCAAGTGATTCATTTCTAATTTGCCTCAGAAATTTTATGAATCGTCGAGGCACGCCTGTGAAGATTCGAAGCGACAATGGAACCAACTTTATCGGAGCCCAGAAAGAGTTAACAAAGGAAAATCGACTATTTGACGTCGCCGAGATTGAACGTCAAATTGCGAAGGAGCGCATTGAGTGGACATTTAACTGCCCAGCTGATCCAAGTGCTGGTAGCTGTTGGGAACGATTAGTCCAATGCGTGAAACGCTTGTTGTCAAAGGTGCTACAAGAAGAGGCGCCGCGACTTGAAACGTTTCGTAGTGTTGTCATCGAAGCGGAGAACATTGTAACCAGCCGCCCTTTGACTGATTTGCCGCTAACCGCTGAAGAAGACGAGCCGCTGACACCCAACCATTTTTTATTGGGGTGTCTCAACACAACGCAAATGCCGACCGAAGAAGAATTCAAAATATGCTTGCGAAAGCAATGGAGAATTTCGCTAAATTTGAAAGACAAATTGTGGAAGCGCTGGGCAGTGGAATATTTGCCACAACTGTTGCAACGCTCTAAGTGGAGGAATGAGGTGCCACCACTGAAGACTGGGCAACTTGTAATCATTTGCGATTCAAATATGCCGAGGAGCCAGTGGCGAAAAGGTATCGTCGAAACTGTTTTCACCGGCAAAGATGGAAAAGTGCGCACCGTTGAAGTTCGCACGAGCCATAGTACTTTACGTCGACCTGCCAGCCAGTTCAGTGAATCCCCTTAAGGATTCACGGGGCGTGGAATGTCGGCAACACTGGCCACTCAAAGGGACATTTTCTATTACAACACAATGGCAACGCCATTCCCTTTTGAAACGATTGTCAACGTCAGCTCTAGTTATTAGTTTTCAAAGAAGCCGCGACAAAAACACCAATTGTAAAACGAAGCCGAACGAAAACTGAAAATTTGTCTGCTTTATATTTCTGGCCGCGAGCCATAGTTTTTGAATTTAAATATACAACTTAAAATTAACTCGCTAACTTGTTTCGTTTTTCTGACAGCCACTTTTTCTCATTAAAGCATGTTCGAATCGTGGAAATTTTGGAAGATCACAGGGTTGCTTTTAGCATTTAGATTGTTAATGCAAAAATGGAGTTGCATTTAGGTGACGAATTTTGTATGGATAAATGTACATTTAGAGTAGCATTTAGAGCTAAATACGCTAAATGTGCTTTTACGCGTAAGCAAAAACAGTCCATAAGCAAAACAGCACATTAGTTTCGACTTTTCTGGCTAAGTACCAACTTAAAATTTAGTTTCGGCTGCAGCTGCAACTAAGTCGTAACTAGGAAGAAGTATTTTATCAAATTAAGTGAAAACATACGAAATATGTAAAAATTAAGTTGGTAGAGGGTGATTTTGATAATATTGAATAATCTCCAATTAAAATTTACAAAGATCGATCAATTTTAATCGGAAGATGAAGTTAAATGCGTATTACAATTCGAAAAAAGCTACAACACAATTTTATAATTGGAATAATTTAGATAAATTTTCAAATAATAAGTCAGTTTCACGCTACTTCTTTTAAAGTAATGGGCTGTTTTTGCTTACGCGTAAAAGCACATTTATCTCTAAATGCTACTCTAAATGTACATTTATCCATACAAAATTCGTCACCTAAATGCAATTAAATGCAACTCCATTTTTGCATTAAGAATCTAAATGCTAAAAGCAACCCTGTGATCTTCCAAAATTTCCACGATTCGAACATGGTCTAAAGAGAAAATGTGTCAACATTGCTTTTTCGCGTATGCAGTTGCTAGCTGCGGTTCAGTGATGGCCGATCGAGATTTCACTTATTATTTTACATTATTTGGAAAAAGAAATGTTGCACGAATTCAACATCGATATGATAGTGATCAACTCTGTGGGTTTTTTGTTCCTATTTAATTTAGGATATTTCAATTGACAGCACCGACAAATGTAAATATACACAAACAAATTTTCGGGTATGGTTAAAACAATTCAAGATTTTGTATTGAACTTTTTGTTTAAAATTTCTTTTTCCCTTTTCAGTAGGGTTTTTTGCACATTATCTTCTCTGTGCGAATTGATCGTGATAGATACGGATCTGAGTAAGCGACAGGAACACGGCCGTTTGTCAAAAGCATACGGTTTCGAACTCGAAAAAGTATGTTCGAAAGTGCTATAAATTTGTGCATAACATTTAGATATCTACTATTTGTATGTTTCACAGCATGCTTTCGATAAACATCGACTTCACATCACTGCGGTTGTTCTGGCTATTTCACACAATTAACAAAAAATTATACCTTATTCTTTTGCATAATCATACAATGAAAATAATAATTACATAAACTGATGATCAAACTTGATATTATTTAATAATATCCAAAATATCGTAAAGAAAAATTGATACATTTTCACACTCGTTTGCTATATCGTAAACTAAGTCGAAACTACTTAGTAGAAGTCTGAAATGCGACTATGAATAGAGGTAAATTTAAAGTTGGTACTTAATTTAAGTTATTAGTTTCGACTTAGTTGCTGGACTATGAATACGCGCCAATGACATTAATACACAAGGCCAAAAATTAGATAATGTCTATTGACATTAAGTCGTTTTGGAATTGATTCACCATCTAAAAGTGAAATATGTGATGATATAAAAATATTTTTTTTTTATTTAGACGTAAATTCACAAAATAAAAGTGTGTTTATGTCATCGAAAATATGGCCTGTGTAAAAATGCCATTGGCATTAACTCACTTTTTAATTGTGTGTAAATATCAGTGACATTAATACCATTGCCATTATTGCACGTCACCATAAATGTTTAAGTATTAACTCAGAGTGAAATATATTTATTGATTTAAATAGTTGCACATCCCAGCTATACAAATAAATTCATAAAAAATAAAAATGATTTCAGATGCTTTATGATCTTAAAACTGTATCTAACACTTGGTTTTCATTATGTGAAAATTAACTAACAGCTTTTCACTTGGGGTCAAATACATACATCATTAAAACTGATCAAATCTAGATATCACAGTGCATGTCAAAGACTGTCGTCAAATTTTGGAGTAAGGCAATTGACATTCCGTTTTCATCACTGATGTCAAATGTGATGTGAAATTTTTGGCATAAGTCAACAATCTCAGCCGTTTAGCTATGGACAAACCAAAAATCGAAAAAGTTCGAATAAAATCGAATTTGCACTACCAAATTTCGAATCGAATAATCGAATGGTTGGACAATGTTCGAAATTCGGAAAAAGTCGAATTTCAACCCCCCACTACCCATACCTTGTTCCGATACAAGTAAATACGAGGATGTACTCGATACTTTTGTTTCGATACCAACTATTTTTTTACTCGATACCAACTATTTTTTTACTCGAAAGAAAAGTACTCGATATGAGCAAGTGCTATATCTTGAAGGTCATATTTTTCTAAGGAAGAAACTTTGCACAGCCTCGATTTTTTATGAAAAATAATTGCTTTAAGCAGTGCCACCGCTAAAATCTTAGGTGTGGATATATTTTTACATAGTGATACTCCAGCAAAGTGCAAGCAATACTTTGAAGCCGTAAAGTTTTGTGGCAACCTTTCAAAGGTTGAATTTTTTTGAGTAATCGTATTTCTTCTAACGTTACTAATGAACAAATATACATATTGACAGCTGAGTGGAAGATCGCGCTATCTCGGCAGCCAGTTCGAAAACGCCCCATCGGAAAATTTTTCAAGAACGCCTTATTTCAGAGTTTGGTTCAAAACGCCGTACCGCAACTGAAAATATTTGAGATAGAGCGTTTTTGAACTAAATTCTGAAATAGGGTGTTCTTGAAAAGTTTTCTGAGATAGGGATTTTTTCAATCAAATTGTAAAATAGGGCGCTTTTAAGAAGTTTTCTGAGAACTGGCTGTCTAGATAGGTCGATCTTCCACTCAAGTGTCTGTAAAGGTATGTCACACATAACGCCTGAAAATTACTTTCGCTTTGTTGCATATAAAAGGATGAACAATTATCGATATAAGTAAGTATCGATACATTTGGTTTACTCCCAATAAACACCAAAAAAATATATCTCCAACCTTGGAGAAATTCATAGGTGCGTATTCATAGTCCAGCAACTAAGTCGAAACTAACAAAGTTGCAACTTAAATTTAAGTACCAACTTAAAATTTACCTCTATTCATAGTCGCATTTCAGACTTCTACTAAGTAGTTTCCATGAACGAAAGACACAAGATCACGCGGGAAGGAAAGAACGAAAAAAGTTATTTTCTAGCTGCCGAAATCTCGACGCCATCTTTGTTGTAAGAAGTAAACAACGAAGAGAACGGAGAAAACCGCGAAATTGTTGAACGCATGAATAATCATTTTTGTTATGCAAATTCTTCTATAAATCATGCCGTTGTGTTAAATTATTCTTTACCTTATGTGTACACACGTTGTCACAGGCGAAAAAGAAGAAAATTGCAGTAAAAAGCCACGACCAAATTGTAAACAATGAAGAAATGTAAACAAACGGCTATTGTCAAAATCGTTAAACTTTTTTCCTAAATGCGATTCTAACGGGCTACTCTCCTGCCCGCGTCATCTTGTATTTTTGGTTCATGATAGAGCTGGGATACTATCGATGGTAATATCGATGGTATCGATAGTTAAAACTGTCGCCACTATCGATAGTTTTTGAAAACTATCGATGTCGGTTTTAGCAAGACTTCACAATGTCTCTTCTTTACATCTCTACACATTACATAATTTTTTTTTTATGCAAGTAAATTCACAACAGAGTCGGCAAAAAAAAAATTGTAAGTCAATGGGATTTTTAGCAACTATAAGCTTACACTGTGTTATAGTAAAATTTAATAAGCTATAAAACTGCTTACACAAAATTTTTATAGAAATTCGAATTAAAAATCTAGAATTTTTTATTATTTTGTAGTTTTTTATGTTTTGTACACCTTCTATAAAAAATTAGTAGACACTAAATAAACAAACAAGTAGTCAAAACTGCTAAAAATGTTAAGGTGCTATTATTTTGACCAGTACTTTATTCGTTCTCTTATAATATGATAAAATGTTAATAATTTCCTTTCCTTTGTCCGGATTTTGATATGCGCCTCCGTATTTGATCTCAGTTGAATTTTTATAAGAATAAGTTGCCAATTTGAACGAATATCTTTTATTTTGTTTGTCTTGTAGTATTATAAATGTATTTTTATAGTCAATTTCACTTCTTTGCACTTCAAAAGGGACAAACACAATCCGAATTTAATTTTGCCATATAAAAAATAAATTCAGATTTTGCCTGTCGCTTTTCAAGGGGATGTAAGGGTATGTATATAAGTTATATAATTCAGACGCATAAATTAATAAAATTATTTTATTTTTATAAGTTTTTTTTTTGATGCACTCAAATAAAAAAAAAACTTATACAATCTCTTTAATTTACAAAGTAGTTTATAA